GTATTATATTATACAGTATAGAAAAGTGAACAATTTCTATAATACCATAAAAAGTAATCAAACTTTTTTGAAATAGAAAGATTTGCGACTAAATAGTAATAAATTTTGTCGTTTTAATTGCAGAGAGAGAGAGAGAGAGAGAGCAAGAGAGAGAGAGAGAGAGAACGGGATGTTTACAAAGTTTGGAAATATATAAAGTATGAGAGAATGAATTACTTTTGGCTAACGAGTCAGACATGGCTTATATTCACAAATTCTGTTTCTTCCCTTATATTTGGTTTGAGATTCAAATGAAAGGAAAATGATGTAAAAGAGCAGACATAGAGCACAGAGAGCTCAGGCGTCTCTATATTTATAACACTAACAACACCTACGAGTAAACTGACGAATGTTTTCTAAACTTATATTGCTTTACAAAGTATTATAAGTTACGGTATATTAAATATCCTTATATTTGTTTATGAGATATAACTTTAGATTAGACTTCAAATACATAATAGTATAGGCTTTCAATTAGTTAATAGGTGTGATAATAGCACATGTATTTCATATATTCATAACAATACTGTGTTACGACTTGATTGGAAATGATATTCACTTTTCAATTTTCCAAAAGCATTATTTTTAATTAATCTCCAATAATAAAGTGAATATTAAAACTACATTGTACAGTACACTGTACTATCTAATAATTTCAATTCGATTGATGTCAACACAAAATATTCAGTATATCTGTACTACAGATTCTGTCTGTATGTCTGCATCTAATAATCAATTTGATACCATGTCTTGAGAATTACTAAATTCTGTAAATATGTTTAAAATAAATTTAAAACTAAAGGATTGGATAAATGGAAGAAATAATGTAAAAGTATTATCAGTGATATTACAGTGTATTTNATCTAATAATCAATTTGATACCATGTCTTGAGAATTACTAAATTCTGTAAATATGTTTAAAATAAATTTAAAACTAAAGGATTGGATAAATGGAAGAAATAATGTAAAAGTATTATCAGTGATATTACAGTGTATTTTACGGATAAATTGAGATCAATCCCAAGTGTGAGGGCGCGGGCTGTTTATAGACTGCAAAATATATTACCGGTATATTATTTAACAAAATATACAATACATAAAAAGCAGGGGTGGGGCGGGTGGGGGTCGCACAGAGAAAGTGAGAATTGAATTGCAAACAAATGGAAGGCTATATGAAAATTCCAAGCGACAAATGTTTTCATATCTACTGTAATATGATTAACATACGCTTATATACCATAGTAATCATATACTATACTGCGGTATAAAATATCTATAAACTTGATAATAAAAACTAATGTGTCGTAAATTCAAAATAATTTTAAGGTGCAATGATTACACTGTAATCTATACACAGTGTGTGTTTGTGTGAGAAATATATGATCTGTGAGCTAACACATAAAACCACTACAAAAACTATAACATATTTATAATCATTTCTATGATTACAAATTTACTTGTTTTTATGATTTAGAAATATAAACTTATAGTAAAGGTATGATTGATTGAGATAGTGATGGGAATGGAGTGAAAGTAATGGGACTAACCATTGGTATTTGACTCGTAAGGACGGTCTGGAGAGGCATTTGTTGGAGTAAAGCATTCTTGAGAGCCAAATGGTTGCGACCGTTAATCAGGAGCTGGTCTTTGAGGTGTTGTGGCGGATGAAAGTACTTACAGGGAGGCTTCTCACGGTTACACCGACCCTACCAGTGGACAAATGGGTTAGCACTAGAGTAGATATGTTTTGTGGGTAGCGTATGTCTAGAATACCTTGATGGAGTCGTAGCAGGCGATGACCCTGCCATTCTGGACCTCGACATTGTTGGTGGGGTGTGCGAACTTGCATTCGTGGTCAGGACGGGTGCACTTATTTCGTTGATATTCGCGGCACACTTCCAACTGCAGCCAACGCGAGTCCTTAACGTTAGCCAAACTGTTAACCATTGCCATAACCAATCACTAGATCAACAGATGAGACTGAGCTCCCAGTGCTCGATAGGCACCAGTCGTCAAACTCTTGGATGGATTCGTGTGATAGCAGAGAATAAAGTAAAAACGTTTAGACCACCAGAGATACCACCCATGCGTCAGATGGTGGCCAATATGGCAATTGAATTGATTTGAGACACTCCGGTGACACTGAGGCACTCAATGAGGCGGACGTTCCCTACAGTCGTCTCTCTGCCGCTTTAACCAACACTTGTCTCACTGCAAGAATACATCAATTATTGGCCAGAGAAGGGGTAATCAAAGTGTCATGAAATTCGCGTATTCAATATCCACTCATTCAAAGCATCTCTAATTCTGGGTTTTCGACAAAATTATGTTTATTTTAAAATTCAAAAACTGTGAAAACTTTTTTATACATTTGCTCTTTTTCACAAACTTCTTATTGCTTTCATTTAAAAATATCTCAAAGACTTATTTAACTTAAATTTAACTCAAAACCTCTAAAAGCTATCAATTTTAATCAAAAACAAAATCTCTAACTCTTGTCACCAAAAATAATCACAAAAAAGTTTTTTAAGTTTTGCTCAATAGTTGTCTCTATTTCTATTGAAGACTTACAGTAAATAGGAATTAAACACAAGTATAACAAGCATATAATAAGATATATTATATTATATAACGAATGTATGATATAATTGGCCACAAATTCAAGCGTTATATGGACTCATTTGGCACTCAGCAGCACATCAATGCATAATCAACTTATGTTACAAATAATACACTTTATGAATATTAAATATAACACAAACTCTATTATAGCTTACAGTTATATACTATTCATTGTACACTGTATTGCTCTACCAGTTAGTTGTCATTATTAAACTGATTAGAATAATAGCAGATATCATATAATAGAGTATGAGCTCAGCTCAGCTAACCTAACCTAACCTACCCTAACCTAACCTTGAGTTCCCATAACTGCATACAGTGTATGATATTCTCAATACTCAATGTTGAGCCCAACACACAATACTATTGCAAATTATTGAACACAATATCCAATTGAATATTCATTCACTACTTAATACTGTTATAATGTTTGACTGCAATATTGTGTGACAATCGTATTACAGTGTAAATGCCATAACAGCACACATAGTCTTACATTCCCTTATAATCGCAATCAAATGCTTTTAATTTATAACTTATTGTCGATTTCATGTCATTCTTAACAATCATTTGTTTATAACATTTGATCCCAAATACGGAAAGTGTGAAAGAGATATATATTTGGTTTGCATCTACTCTTAACTATCATTAAATATAATGATATAAAGTATGCAATACTGTAATCATTGCAGTGACCATACATTGTCTCATATAATATAACAAACATTGAAAGCATCGACTAATTCACAACTAATTCAAAACTAATTCACAACTAATTCACAACTAATTCACAACTAATTCACAACCAATTAATGGCCAATAAATCACTCGAAAGCACATAAGTCTTGAGACCAACTGTCCATTCATTTAAAGCCAATTAATAAGACATACGATTCGCACAGACACTCCTTTAGATGCCATCCCTTTCCCATTGGCTTCACTCGTGTCTAACAGTATTTTCGGTGACAATTGTCTTACTGTAAGCCAACAGTTGTCACAATCATATCAAGCAATGAGTCCATCGAAGGCACGCCGGAAGATAAGCACAAGACATACAGACCGTAGCCTTAATGGACTGATCAACACAAGGGAAGTGTTGAGACAATCACACCATTAGTGTCTTTGCAAAGCTATACTCAAAAAGTGTCTTATAGTTGGTCTTAGGTCTGGCGTTAGAGATAACTCCTCGACCACTCGTAGAGATCGCATGCATTCATCCATTGCAGACATAAGACATATGACTCACCCGATGGGTTGTGTCCACTCATTGATCACCACAGAGATGGTGCACACGAGGACTGGATGTAAGACTTGGCAGACCGTCACACATGTCATCCACAGCTAATCCAATGCAATGCAGACCTCTATTAGTGTTATGTTTATGTGTTTGATGTGGTGTTCAGTACAGCATTCAATACACCATTCAATACACTGTACGACACAAACACTGCATACGCTCTGCACTGCTCTCCCAATGCATTCAACACTCACTGCTGGAGCTGTGCTTTGGGTGTGGCCTTAAGGCACACTACTGTACACTATTTGTGAACATCTCATACAACACCCCCGTAGCCCCCGTAGCACCCCTTTCACCACCGCATCCACCGAATTGTCACTTAACCTCACTTTTGGGTCACATTCAGTCAAACCTTGTTTAAATAATTAAATAAACACACATTTCATACAATTTATCGCTAATCACAAACACTTGTTGTATTTAATCACAATATTTGACAATTAAAGTGATTTTATTCAACTTTCATAGTTTATATAGTTTAAGATACAGATAATCGATTTATTAAATACAGTAGAAAATACAATCGACAATGATTTCACTTATTTCTACAATACTTGTTTAACATTGAAACATTATTATAATAAAACAGTTCACATATAATTTTAAGACATTTTTTGGCACTTCTTTATTAGCTATAAGTTTGTCTCTTTGAGAATTGTCTTTCATACTAATTTGCAGACATTAGATAGTGAAGATCATACTATATAATATTACTTATCTATATTGTATTATTTAGATAATATACTCCATTCTTATAATTTCCTTATTATTTTACGACAAAGTGTCTCAAATCAAGTAATATTCAAAATAAGTTTTTTAAAAGTTTTAAAAATAAGTGTGTAATAAAGTTTTCTTATTGCTTACTGTCAAGCAATAAAATTGAAAGATTTCTATGTCTTCAGCAGTACTTTATTGCCACCAATTGGCTGGATGAGCCCAAAAGCTGTCAAAATATGGCTATTTTAGTAATAGACACATTTTATATTGGTTGGTAGCATTTTAATTTAATAGTTTGTTTACTGAACATTCATCAATATTGGAAAATATTAATACAGATTCGCAAAATTTATTTAATTAACACTTAATTAAATTATAAATCGTAAATATTTATATTGGTTGGTAGCATTTTAATTTAATAGTTTGTTTACTGAACATTCATCAATATTGGAAAATATTAATTGTCTAAGCGTTTTAAATAAATTAATTGTGAATTAATTTAATATTTAGCATTTAATATAAGTTTATATCATGTCATGTTATACAATTTTAATCGAATAAGGTTAATATCATGTAATATAAAAATAATTAATCAATTAGCTAACTTAACTATTAATAATATTCAGTTTAGACATTTAGTCTAATATAGTCTATTATATTCAGAATTTATATCCAAGTTTCTCACTTTTATTTAATATATACTAAACTTGCTAACATATCTACAGTAGAAGAATCTCTCCTATATATACTGATAATCCCGTATAAAGTTTATAATTATTAAAACTTAATGCATACAAAAAATTAATTATTATTTATTCTGTAGTATATTCTTTTAATGTTCTATTAATTATATTTTTATATCTAATAAATAAATAATGAACAATTAGGTTTGTTTATAATGTTCATATATTTATTAGTGTTAACTATAAGATTTTAAGTTCACATCAATTAAATTGAATTATTTTTGTAATGAAATCAGGATAATTTAACATATACTACTTATAAACTGATAGTCTTTTAACCGATAGTAGAAATTTAAAAGAATATAAAAATTTATAGTACAAAGTAAATGATTGCATAAAATAAGTTCAAATAGTGAAATAGTATTGAATTGAATTGGTTAAGTACATGATTTAACATCTGTTAGTTACTTAACCAATCTTCACAAACCAAACACCGATTGTCTGTGGGGTAGTGTCTTATAAGACATCAATTCACTAACCAGAGATTTCACATTGTGTATTATTGAATAAGAAGTCAATTCAAGTGTTGCGACAATTGATGCGGTATATTCAGTAAGTAATTAATGCTGTAAGAAAATTAATAAATATTATTTTTTCAAAATATTTCTGTAGTAACTCATAAGTCATAATAACAGTACTTAAACTATATTAAATCTTAATGTCATCCCATATTACATATACACGTCTATTAGAAAATGAGATTATTATTCAATTTTGTACTAATTATTCAGTCCTAATAGGCGTTTTTCAGGTGATAATTGGCTTTAATCTCATTTTATGACAAGTTTTAAGTCTTTGTTTCCATATTTAGGATTATTCTCTTCAAACAATTCTTGTAAGCTTATGATGTATTTGTCGTGAAGATCATAGATCTGCTCATCAGTCGGCTCATCCACTTGTATCACATCAATTGGCTTTCCAACTAATTATAGATTAATTATTGTTTAAATGAGTTTCAAATATAGCTTGAATTATATAAACGATTGGTTGTGACAAATACTGACCCACTGTTGTAATGGGTTTTCGGAAGGGAAGGTATCCCATGTTATACTGAAACACTCCTCGGCCTAAACATATATATCATTTAATATGTAAATAATCATTATTTTGAGCAAATTTTTATGACAATTAATGCAAACCGTGAAACATAGGCGCAGAGAAACCCAGTACTTGTGTCAAATTAAGAACGCAAAACGCCTAGGCTCTGAAAAGGAGGAAAAGAAAAACGTAATTATTGAGTAAAAGTGGCTTTCTTTACTGGCCTTGATCACTACGCGATTAACAACGTGTTATAATTACTATGAAATAATGTATATCATTGTATTCATGATAATATATACCCGTTCCTAAGGGCTAACTTTATAAAACCTTTTCGTTTGTTTAAAGTTAGTTTCAAAGTGTTGGGAACGGCATCTAAAGCCTCAACAGCTCCGCCAACCATTAGAACCAAAGCGTGTCCTTTACCTTCATTTCTAATCATATAATAACATATAATTAATCTTAATTTTATTTATAAATTATAACTGTAATACTGTACTGTACTATATTCATATTAACATTACATTAAAATTATGAAACAATAAACTGTTTGTAAGGTAAATAACATAACATAAGATATTAAAAACTATGTTTCTAAAACTATGGAGATTTTGATAACGAATTTCACTGTATTAAATTTAACATAGATAAAAATTTCATAATGAATTCTGTGTGGAGTTGTTGGTAAGGTATGAACCAAATCACCGTCTTGTCCGTGGACATCTAATCAAATATATTATAATAAATAAAATTAAGAATCAAGTATTCATAATTATTATAAATACTTTTATAAACTCATTGTCTAACCTGTCATTAAAAACATTTCTCTATTCAATGGGAGCCAAAACTGTCCCTCAAGTGTTAGTAAGTGTGGAGTAATTCCTTTGAAAGTCTGTGAAAAGCCGGTGCCTTCGGTCGCAAAATTACCGAAATATGAGAAACAAAGGATTCCGTGGGGATGACACCCGAAGATGTAGTTCTTATTCGGGTCTATATCTGCTGTTTTAATTAACTTGAGTGGGAAATAATTGGCGTAATGTCTCCAAAGAGCCCACTTTCGGACCCAATAATTAATTCGTCCTCCTTTTGAAAAATCAATATTTATATTAAAATTTTTAAAAATAATAACTATATTTATTATAAGAATAGTATAAGAATAAATCATACCTTGATTACACACATTTCGGTCAATGATAAGCCATAACATATATAAAAGAGTGACATAATAGTATTTAGTAAACAACAGAATGAGTAAAATAATGAGTGATCCAGATCCAATGAATAAGAAGGAACTGCTATAATAGAGAACTGCGAGAGTTTGCAATCGTCTCTCAATAGGGATCAGAATGGGAGCGAATTGAATGCCAAATATTTTAACCATTTTTTAAAGATTATTGTAACATTTCATCAAATAATTAATTATATAGTGATTCATTGTCACGTTTATGTGGTATATATTTTAGTTACTAAATTCACTCTCTTACTTCCAGTAAATAAGATAGATCTCTACACACACTATATGGATCCAAGATAAATATTTGACTATTGGTCACCGGAAGAAAGAGGAGTATGCATATCTATTTAAAGGGAGTTTAAGCGTTAATATAGTGCACAATATTTGAATACTTTAATTGATCGTAAAATTGGAAATAAAATGTAAGAAAATGTGGTCATTATATCAAATCAGTGGTGAAACAGACTTTCAAATATACTGTATAATAAATTCACTGTTTCTACTGTTTCTAAAAGTTTAATAAACTTTATCAGCCATTCTTCCGGTGAAAATAAGCGCTTCATTTATTGACAAATTTAAACACAAAAATCTATTTCTAGTTTATCAAATATTTATACTGTATGTTAAGAATTATATTAATAACTGTTAAGTTTAAACTATATCAGAGTAGTTTATTGTGATCTGAACATATTTCTAACTTGATTATTTGAACTATGTTATTTGAACTCCAGAATTCTTAATACACTACACTTTTTATATCGATTTCATAGAATTTTGTTAAAAATAAATTTTATATTCTTAAAGAAATAAAAGATCAATCAACAATTGTGTACAATTATGTTCTAGGACCTAGAATCTAGAATCTAGGTCATATCAGTAGTTGTAATTTGAATATGTCATGAAATTAAAAACGAAAACGTTTAGTAATTGATAGAAATGGCATTATTAGAGAAGCTCTCATATTAGTCCTAGTGTACCATGTTTGAGAGAAATTTACCTAATAAAATATCATGGTTAGTTTAGGAATAAATGGAGTTCACAAACACAAATATTTTTACCATGCTTTTTGTCGACCAAAACTAATACCGGTATATTTCAATGTATTTTATATACTCTTTTTGTAAACTTAACTGACACAGTTACCATGGTAGATTTTCATACAATAAAAAATATGTTTACAATCCACAAAGTAGGGGCTATAAATCCGTGAATATAGGATGAGGATTGGATTATCCGTTTTGGAGTATTAAATTCTAATACGATAAAGATAGTTAGTTGTTCGAGTTATAAACAAACTACCCAGTTTAATTTACAGAAGTACCACTTCCATAAAATTCCATTTAAATCAACTATAAGATGCTTTTTATTTAGTTTTATTATGGTAGTTTTTAACTACTGTAAATTTTTGAATAACTTTATAGGAAAAACATATAAGTAAAGTAATAAAGTAGTCAAATTAATACCGGTAAGATGTCATGTGTTAGCCAGTTGCTTTTGTTAATTGCATAATGCTTTTATTACAATAATTATATTAAGTTTGAGAAATACATAATTTTAAAATAATAAAATTTTTGATTGTCTTGAAGACAAATTTAAGGCACTTTTCATCAATAAATCTATTATTAACTAATAGTTATTTAGAGAACAAGTGTTTTTAAATATTAAACAAATGTACTATCTCAAAAAATATTGAAACAAATTTCAGTTAATATTTACAATCAATGCCAAGGCTTCGTGTGAACACGATTTAAGGATTTTTTAAACATAAAAGCAAATCATATGTATATCTAATTATAAAAATTAATTCCCACTAAAATTAATGTACAGTACATTGAAAACTTTCAATCATAGCTCTCGTTTATACTCTGTATAATTACTTTGAGAGTATTTTAAAGTAGAAAAATCCCATTTATTTCTAAATTCCAAGTATTAATGCATAAAAGAATTCAATTGGTATTTGTTATACCGTTAATAAATTTGAAAATTAATGTATAATTAAGTTAACGAATGTGTGAATGAATAGAAATAAGGGCACAAATGGGTGGAGTATTGCAAATAGTGTAAAATGATTTGCATTATTAAATAGAGTACAGTATTGCATATATTTATTGCGTCGAGTGTTGAGATGTGTCTGAATTGATGGTCGAGTTCCTGATCACTTCAATCCATTGCCTGAAAGTGTATTCACTTTCCGTGCGAAAGAAGTAGACATGAGTTTTGAATTGCAATTTAAATACATAACTCTTATTCATATTATCGGCTTCTGATGGGATACTCGCTGTGTATCCAATGACCGGAAGACTAGCCAAAGGAAAGTCGTCCTAATATTATATAAAACATTCACTAAATAACACCATTTAAGGGATTGAATGAAAGGGTTCAGCAAACCTGACAAGACTTGTAGAAAAATAGGCAAAAGTGAGTGAACACAACCCACAACTTCTGCCAACCGCTACTGTTCTTGAATTTTCTGAGTAGATATCCACTCAAACAGCTCTTTAAGTAATCAAATCATAAATATAATTATATACAGAATGTGAGAGTTGGTGGCCATTGCTTACAGTGAGCGCGTGTTCATAATCGGCGGCACTTATACTGCAATTCCTGTGCCAACACACGTGAGCCATTGTATTGGATCTGTAGTGAAGTTTATCGATGTTTTCGATTTGAGTGACATTTTCAGATTTTTGGATCCATTTCTGACTCAACGCGTTATCAATTTTATCCAAGAGTTCGTTCGAAGAGATAATGGTTGGTATGAATGGAAGCGTTTCATTATTGCCATTAATATGAGACAAATTAATGGCTGTTTCGGACAAATCTGTTAACCAAATACGGCGTTCCTCTTCAGAGCTAAACAAAAGAATATATGATCACTAAACCCACTCCACCAGTAATACAGTGTAATATAGGGTTAGAGTGACATACTTGGCGGCAACCATAAGAGCCCGTTCACCGGCATATATTGTGAAACAATAATTGACCCCTAATTTAGGTTCTGTGGGCTCAACCATAATGTGCTGCAGAGAGAGGTGTCCGTGAACTTTGAACTGGAACTGCACTGATGCCGACCGACTCGCGTATATCAATATATCGGAAAACTGTTAAATATATAAACAAATGTCAACTCAGTTAACACAACATGTGATCCATACCAGAAAGAAGAGCCTTTGTTGGTAACCCTTCTTCGAGAGCTTCAGAAGACATCCCTCCCTAACAAACCTCTGTTCATATAATTAGATATTATCAACAAATTAATCGATTGCTTAAACTTAAACGTGTGTTATATTAAGACATACCCGACCCGATTGCACTATATTATCCATTCCTGTTATATCTCTTTGTAATTCTATAAGAATTACTAAATTTATCTAAAAATATAGGTTCAATCATTATACAGTACTATTTATAATTTGAATTAAATATTTTATAATTTAATAATTACCAGAGAATTCAATGTTACAGAATATTCTGCATTAAATTGCTTCAACTGTTCGATGATAACTGAAAGAAATTTAAAATTTATTAAATTGAATTGTTTTGAAATAAGATGACTTACATAAATATTTGGCAAATTCCGAACTATTATTGACATGAAATTTGGACAATTCTACAGAGAAATAGAAATTAATGAGACAAATATTGAACATCAAGTTGTTTAATGATATATTACTTTCTATTATTTGCAAGTAATGTGTTATATGAAAGGCAGGCTTCAAAATAAATGAAGTGTACGGCAAATAACAGCCTTTTCGAGCCTCAAAGTCCCGACAAACGCGTTCAAAATCTTTGTTGTGTCTGAAACTGGCGTTAATTCTCTCGAGAATGAATGGCAATCTTTCAATGAGTCTCTCGTATAACTGATTGAAAATATTATCATTTATATAAATTTAATTAATACCGTAACAATTAATACAATATAAATAATTAAATTTTAAAGAAATGCTTTTAAATCAATACTGTATATGACATACCGGTAACCATTGAATGATATCTTTTAAAATATCGCCAATTGTTCGGTTAGAATGAAGAGCAGACTTCCCTTCCCTTTAAATTATAGACATTTCGTATAAATATAACTAAAATGAATACTAATTTAAAAACAGACCAAATGACTAAAATGTGTTCAATTTGTTGCAAAAAATTGTGATGAATTTCAAACAGTGGTTCCGTTGCAGAGAATAGCAGAGAAAGCATTTCTGCGGGTCGTGTCGTCTCTTTACTCACATCCTCTTTAAACCACTGAAGCAGACATTCAATGATATCATTTAATATATGATACAATTTTCATTAACAAATACTGACTGTATTTATGAGTTCGATATCCTTTTTATAGGTTCTCTCCGACATAACTAACTCTCGGAAAACATAGTATTCTTTATCCAAACGAAGTTTCTTACGACAAAATAATTTCAATATTTAACACTTCACTCAATATCCATAGCATTAAAACTTACAGCTCTTCTGTGGTCTCTATCGAGAGTCGATTCGATTCTTATTTGATTAGCATTTGATGGAAATGATTGAGAGGTATGAGAATATGGGGAACTGGTGCTCGATTGAACCACATGGCAAATATTATTGGCAGACAAATCGTTTAGATTATTATGTTTGAGATTCATATTATTGAGATCTAAAAACAATTAATTTCTACTTTAAATAACTTTCACTTAAAAAATAAATTCTATTTAGAATACGATGACATGAATATCAAGAACTATTTATCATATAAGAATCTATTGCACTACAAAGGAATGGCAAGGAATCTGTGTATTAAATACAGAATAATGAATATAGGACCAATTAATAATTACAACAATTTTGTTAAATCAGAATCATTATGAAGAATGTTAAAGAATTTACGGAATAAAATGCAAATATAGTAAAGTGAAAGCAATAGTCTTTTAATAGTATTAAGCATAGATTAGAAAGCAATAGTCTTTTAATAGTATTAAGCATAGATTAGAAAGCAATAGATTAAAGTTATAATCATTTTGACAACAGTTATAACTCTAAAATTACATAGTATTTTAAATTCAGTAAATTTACAATAAAGAAAGCAATAGTCTTTTAATAGTATTAAGCATAGATTAGAAAGCAATAGATTAAAGTTATAATCATTTTGACAACAGTTATAACTCTAAAATTACATAGTATTTTAAATTCAGTAAATTTACAATAAGAGAAAATTGTAGTAAAATTAATCTAATATTAGTAAAGAATGTAAAGTAAATGAGCCGTAAATATAACAATCATTAAATACTGTATAAAGAATACTACAATTCAATTGGTCGGTCAAACCATATCCAATGAATGCATTAATTATGGATTTTCTACTATAAATGACATAGAATTTGCAATATATAACAAATATTGAATTCAAACAAAAAGTAGACAAATTAATAGAAAATCTTAAACATGAACTAAAATCTACTTTTATATGAGGAGTGAATAGTAAAAGAGATTTGCAATAAAAACTGTAAAGCATTAAACAAAAATATTTTAATGCTAAGACTATGATTTACTGTACCGATACAGTTTGTATGATATTCTTATACAGTAGATTCTGCTATTCTCATTTATACTATTTTTTCCTCATATAACAACAAAGTTATGACACAAACTTAACATTCATCTAATATAAAGAATATTACAATGTGTAAGAAATTTATCTAAATTAAAATTTAAAACGTTTCAAGTAGATTAATAAAAATCCTTTAGTTAAAACTATTTGTGCGTTTAATTAATAGTTAAGTATCATAGTCATTGAAATATACTATATTTTTAACGTTTTAAATTAAAAACATTTATAGAATTTAAAGAATGTAAAGTAAATGAGCCGTAAATATAACAATCATTAAATACTGTATAAAGAATACTACAATTCAATTGGTCGGTCAAACCATATCCAATGAATGCATTAATTATGGATTTTCTACTATAAATTAGATATAATTTGCAATATATAACAAATATTAGAATTCAAACAAAAAGTAGACAAATTAATAGAAAATCTTAAACATTAACTAAAATCTACTTTTATATGAGGAGTGAATAGTAAAAGAGACTTTATACTATTTTGTCCTCGTATAACAACAAAGTTATGACACAAACTTAACATTAATCTAATATAAAGAATATTACAATGTGTAAGAAATTTATCTAAATTAAAATTTAAAATGTTTCAAGTAGATTAATAAAAATCCTTTAGTTAAAACTATTTGTGCGTTTAATTAATAGTTAAGTATCATAGTCATTGAAATATACTATATTTTTAACGTTTTAAATTAAAAACATTTATAGAATTTTGAATGAATGTAAAGATCGAAAATAACAGTTATTATGAGTTTTGAAAGAAAGACAAGTTATTAAAAAATAACAATATATTACACGATAATTGTTTCATTTGGAAATTGTCTACAATTTGTATTTGAATGCAATATTCAACAAATAGACAAATAGTTGTGAAGATTCCCAAAGGGAATGAAAGACATGACATGAAATGGAGATCAAGTGTTAGCTTTGGATAACAAAATTGTCAGCAATTATTGATCGCAAGTAAACATTAATTATTAGATTTGGTAAACTATTATTAAGGGAATCACATATTATATCATTTGTTAGTAATTGTGTTGAGTGATCAGAATTCGGGTCAAAATCATCGGCAAAGCGTTCATTCAAATACATGTTAACAATAACGTGGGCTAAACAATTCTCACTCAAACCATTCATTTCATTCATATGACTACCATTTGGATCGCTTTCAGCAGATATTTGATGAGCATTTTGTGGACACAATGAGTCGAAATAAATTTTATCTTTTTGTAAATTATTATAAACTATTTCGTCTGAAAGCGATCCAAATCTAGGTTTGGAATCCATTTGTTCGTTGTTTTGTTCATTTGGTTTCTTATTATTACTATATTTATATGAATTTAATGGACAATAATCTGATTTTTTAGAATACTTTTTAACAAAATATGAGGAAATGTTATCTAAAAACCCGATCTCTTCCGAGTCTTGGAGAGTGTCGTCGCGCGAAGAATAGCTCTCAAGAGAAGGCAAACTATTTAATGAAACGAAATGTACGCTCTTTTGACGAGAACGCCGTTCCGAAAACCTATGGGTGCCGGCAAACAGTGTATGGCTTAATTCAAACTCTTTGTTTGCTTTGGATCTGATTCGTGGCGCTGAGACCGCGCGACGTCTTTTATCGTCTCTATTCTTACGCTTATTCTTATCTGTATTTTGTCTGACTTTGCGTTTATGTAAAACATATTCAATATCTCCGCAAATGGACTTTGATTTGTCTAATAACTGACTATCAGTGCTCGGGTTTAAAGTCATTTGTTTTTCCTTTTCGCTATAACTTTCATCAAAATCTATCAAATTTTCAACATTTCTTGAGTTAGTTTCTACACAAATATTAACATTATTTTGTGAGACTTTATTCGATAGACTTTTAGTCTCTTTGTCGATAAGATAAGAGTCGTTTGATATGTCATCGACTTCAACGTCCATTAAATCTGGACTAACAAAACCCTCTCTACTCGCAAAGTGAGTAGAACTCCAACCTGTAGGCGCCCTGTCATGGGATCGCTCCTCAATTGAAGGACTCGGAGGCGTTTCCGGAAACAAATTCGACTTTTGAGAGCTATTCTCTTGAGCAGACTTTGGTCTCTCGTCATCACTGATGGCATTGGAAGACGAGAATTGAGGCGAACTGATGGGCAGAATAGGTGTCACTGATATGGATGAGCCGCCAATTCCTTCAGTTCTCTGGTTATTCGTGTTAGAAGTCCTCAAACTGTTGGACCTATTTTTAAACAACAGATCCAATAATTATAAATAACTTCATTGCATGCAAAACTACATTCATGACAAACCTCTGGAAGGGCTGTCTTTTAACACAACTTTGTCGCACGTATTCCATGATCTGCTGTTGGGTTCTTCCACTGTACCTATGAATGGATTGCAAACAAAACCCAAATTAACAAAACGATTACAAATTGAATGTTCGTTTGTAGTGCACCTGAAAGACGAGCCGCGGCTAAAGATTTTAGGCTTTTGTTTGGGAGTTCTCTTGACTTCAATACACCTGAAGAAGGAGTGCTGTTCGATACACTTCTTCCAGAAGTTCTTGCATTCGTTGCGGCCCTCAAACATAAACTCAACCACATCTCCAAAGTACTCCTATTCATCATTCAAGCAATTTATATATTTAGTATACAAACCAAAGGCCTGTAGTGTGGATAATGACTGACCTCCTGATGGAGTTTAATGAGAAATCGTTTCCTTTTAAAGCTTAGTTTCCTAATCTTAGCCCAAGAAAATGTGTTCACTTTTGTCTGATTTTGAAACACAATTACTCCCAAATGAGCGACCGATAGGTTCAGGGGAACGCCTTCATGATCTTTCACTGGAGTTAACTTAATGCCATACATTTCACAGCGTCGACCCGTTTCCAGTAAATTATAGTCAGCCTCTGCTGGTGATTGGCCACTAAGGTCCACAACAATTTAGTATTCAATTACTTATAAACAAATACGTTAAAACTCAAATCACATACCAGTGCTTTTTATGGTTTTCCATAACTCTCCACTCAAATTCTTCATCTTGAAGTGGAATCAGTTTAAAACGCGAGACATACAAGTGATCCATATATTCATCAGAATTAAAGTCTCCGATTTCAGCTGTTTTTAATGTTTGGAAATATAATTAACACAAATGTAAACCAAAATGAATGCAAAGATGCAAACCTTGTATAATATATGAAGCCATGAGAGCCGCCGTATTCTCATTACAAACGAGGAGTCCCTCCGATAAGTCTTTTTTGATTTGTAAACTGAAAAGATATCTATCGATAGCGCAGAACATGAGCGTCGGGAAAATGGATTCATTGTCGACATAAGGCATGCATTATATGAGACAATAGCTAATAGTCAGACCGCGTCAGCTCGTCCTCCAGTCGGGAGGGGTCGGGGGCATAGAATTTGACCGCAAAATACATGACGGGATTGTTGGTCGACAGAGACAACTGACGACAAATGGGTTTCTCCAAATCCAACCAATACTACACCAAACAAATGCAATCAATTCAGTGATCGTCCATTGAATGCACGCAAATCACGTGAATACAAACCCTGGTGCCACTGGAGTCCGCGTATTCAATACCGAAATAATCCATTTCTATGAGATTCAGTGTCTCGCAGACCTGATTGAACAGTGATTTGGCCAAAGATTTGTGCTGAACATCAATCACAACCACACCATTAGACCATTAGTTCATCACTCAATCCATTCATTCATTTATACCGTAATTTTGTAGACATTTGTCGATTCGTCCAAAAAGATTATTTCAATTGTCATGTATTTAGAGGACTTGCGGTCGACGGATGAGCTCCGGTAGGCTATACCCCTGTCCTCCAACCGTGGGTTTTGCCGGTTGTCGGGCGGCGCCGAAGACGACCTCTTCTCAGGCGACGGCATCACTGAATTGGTGTCACAATTGGTGTCACAATTGATGCCTCTATTAGTGGTCGAAAGCAATCACATTATTGCATACAATCACTGCATTCACTACACAATTGTCTATTACTCTCATTATAATCACATTCAATAACTGAACACTTTTTGTCAAATAAACTCATTTATTATCAAATCAATTGAATTAAATGTCAAAAACACTTACTATTGGTTTGTATTGAATTGAAAACAATTTGCATTTAAAGACGGCTTTAATTTATGAAACATTTTATTTGTTTGTATTAACTGTTAATTAAGGGATTAACGATAATAATCATAATAATAGTGATAATTATGTGATAATTGATGAATTAGTGTTGAGAACTGAAACTATCGCGGTAATCATAACCAGTGGTTTACGGTATATATAATATGTGTATATAATATAATTATATATGTATATAATAATAATAATAAGTGTAATAAGTGTGAAACTGTTACTTATTAGATGTAATGGTAATCATAATAATGACTGAAATGAATACAAAAATAATAGATTGTGTTTGTGTTGAATGCGTCGACATTTCAACCATTTTTGCATTCAATTCAATACTTCTATGGATAGACAATAAACAGATGCAGTGCTCAGCCAATGAGCCATTAGTATGGCGTTGGGCGCCCTTTTCGACTCAATACAACCCAATCGTACAATTATTTCACACATTTTTTACGGGTTTTGGTTTTTATGTCAATTTGTATTAAAGTGTTGGAAATTTGCTTTAGTTTTGGACTCAACTAAAACAAAGTCGTTGTTAACAGCGTTTGGTTTGGAAGTGGTCTCTGTATTCCTGGTAACTGACTGTCATCTTCTCGGACTGATAACGGGTCAGACGTATGGATAGGCGCACATCGTTGGTGATGACACCCTTGAAACCCCCTTTTCGTAGCAACGAGTCGATTGTCTGAATGCGATCCCAACCTATTAGCCGTTCATTCATTTATTGTCTTATCATTAATAGCATGATATGAGTGACACTTCACATGACATACCTTGTTCTGGGGCTACTTCTGGCAAATAAGTGGCCGTCCGTTTCGAGCCCTTCTCAGTCAAGAACTCGATTCTAATGCCATGAATGCCAATCTCCCAATCAGTGTAATTGAGGCCATCCTCGAAGTGTCTCAGTATCGACACCGAGACGTGAAGTTTAGACAACTCGTCTCGAGTGATAGGACTGAAACGGCTGTCCTTAAAGGCGCTGTTAGTTTGGTCAGTGAGACAACCATTAGTTCATTGAGTAATCAATGGGTGTATTATATGACTGTTGAGCACCTGGTCATAGCGTATTCACGCAGTCCTAAGTGTAGGTTCATTGCGTTGAAAGTGCCGATACATCCCCTGAGCCGTCGGTCGCGCCCTACCTTCCAGGTGACGAACAGCGGACTAATTCATACATATTAGCCATTAGTTGCTTATAATCACATCAAATACATGCTATCCTTTCAATCGTTTATATCAAGTAATAGTGAAATATGAATGCATTTCAATGTACATCAATAAGTAGTTGAATCGATATTCAGTAAATACCCCGCTTATACAGTAATATAATTTTCATAACACATAAGTCTTACAGAATTAGAAAAGACTCGGGAGGGCTGACATACTGTAGTGGAGGTTCAGGCAGACTGTGTAGTGGAGGGTTAGACAGAAGATATAGTGTTCATATAGAAGTCCATTCATTCAATACATGTGTTGTATTGTCTTATAAGGGATACATTTCCATAGTATTACGTGAGGTACTGTTGTGAGCAATGTTTAATTCTCAATATATTTAGTCATCCAATGCTATTCAATGTCATTATTGCAACTTATTTACAACACAACTACTGTATAATTGTATAATCATTTCAATGTTCACTAATTACATGATTAATATATTTAATATAGCAGTAGATATAGTAATGTATGAAATACTGTATATTCATTACAAGTGATAGCATATCACAGAAATGAGTGGTTGGACTGAAATGTGTGAATAACTAGATATCCATCAATTGAATCAAATATCATATCATATCATAGACTGTATAATAGATTCAATCAATTCATGCAAACGTTTAATACGTTTTTGAGTGAAAAATGGGACAAAAGGCCAGACATTGACTACAATGAGACCAATGAATACAAGACTCAATATATGATTACATGACTGCAGTAATCATATAAGAGTGGACACAATGACACCACACATACAATGGCTTAAGTAATGGACACAAAGACATGAGAGGATGTGATACTGACTGGCATTCGTTGGCAAAGTTGGGTGCCTTCGGGGGATCAGATTGGCTCAGATGTGACGACAAGACGTCGAAGCAGAAGAAGCACATCTCGTTGGACACAATCATCGATGGGTTCTTCGTCACCACCGAAGTCATCACTCCATTCATGTGAGCATTAGGTCCGCCGTTCATAGTGTGGCCATTCATTGGTGGCAAAGGGTTCACATCCAAGTGATTGCAGCAATTGTTACTCAACTTCTGTTTCTTAGTACCACAACAGCCACCGATTCCAGCAGCCATTCCGAACACCAACCAACTCACCAAATGACACCAATTGAGACCACAATCAGTCAGTCGGACAGTCAGACCAGTGAAGACAATCTGTCACCTCTTTGTTATACCATTCAATCGCATCCAACACCAAACCCTTACTCCACTCGACAACAGCTGAGGCTTACAACAGCTCACAAACACCAGTGCCTGTGCGCACACCACTGCCAGCCCTCTCAACACTATAATACCAGCCCTCTCACCACAACTATACTGTACTGTATAATACCTGCGCTGAACACACAGACACTACAATCACGGCTAATCCATTAATCCTTTATCCTTTGCCCTCATTTACTACACCTATTTGAGGCCAATTACTCTACACTGGAGTAGTTTATCATAACATAAGTAATCAGTGCTCACAATACACCCCAACCCTACATAACCTCATTTCCATAACACACTAATTGGCGATTCGTAGCTCATTTTGAACTCATGTTTCATTTAAATACTATTTTGTGGTTCAAATGGTCATAACAAACCACAATTAGAGTCACAAAGTAATGCAAACAGTGATTAGAAAAAGATTTGTTATTAAAACTTAATTCAAACGATTAGTATTTTTACAGAGTTTATAGTTTTGAAATGAACTGAAAAAGAATTGAATTAACATTTATTCATAAAGTCAGTCGGACAGTCAGACCAGTGAAGACAATCTGTCACCTCTTTGTTATACCATTCAATCGCATCCAACACCAAACCCTTACTCCACTCGACAACAGCTGAGGCTTACAACAGCTCACAAACACCACTGACTGTGCGCACACCACTGCCAGCCCTCTCACCACTACCAGCCCTCTCACCACAACTATACTGTACTGTATAATACCTGCGCTCAACACACAGACACTACAATCACGGCTAATCCATTAATCCCTTATCCTTTGCCCTCATTTACTACACCTATTTGAGGCCAATTACTCTACACTGGAGTAGTTTATGATAACATAAGTAATCAGTGCTCACAATACACCCCAACCCTACATAACCTCATTTCCATAACACACTAATTGGCGATTCGTAGCTCATTTTGAACTCATGTTTAATTTAAATACTATTTTGTGGTTCAAATGGTCATAACAAACCACAATTAGAGTCCCAAAGTAATGCAAACAGTGATTAGAAAAAGATTTGTTATTAAAACTTAATTCAAACGATTAGTATTTTTACAGAGTTTATAGTTTTGAAATGAACTGAAAAAGAATTGAATTAACATTTATTCATAATCTATTTGTAAGAATTTAATTTTGTTGATCTTCTTCAGCATCGGTGTCCTCATCGGCACGACTCCTGTCCTCATTGTCTGAGTTATCGTATTCACTGTTTTCTAAATTGCTTTTACAGTCTTCAAACAATTTAATGAATTCTTTGAGAAGATCTTTGTTCTGAAATATTCAATCAAAATCATTAAATCAAATCCTATAAAATTTGCCACAAAATTACTTTCAGTTTGAGCGCAAACTGTTGTTTGGCAGGACTTCCATCGCTATAGTCGATAGCATACCAACAAATGGCTGTTTCACTCGTGTTCATTGGATTCAGTGTCACCGCAGGTGTGATGTAATGATTGCATGCAATCTTCAGAATCTGATCTCTCCTTAGAATCATTCGATAGCGATCTGTGGATGAGTTTTCAATGCCATTAATATACAAATCATATATTTTTTAATATTTCCACAAACTCTTGGACTTGTGTTTCAAAATCTTGAAGTCACCGATTCCTCGCTCTTTCCATTCCTTGAGAGTGGGATCAAAGCGATAGAGTTTAGCCCTTTGACAGTATAGGGGCTCTTCATCTTCTTCCCCGGTCTGCACTTCGACCAAATCAGGCAAAGGAATCAAAGGCTTGAAGTAAATATCAAGATTTGCGACCACAGTATCTATTCATACATTTTAATAGAAATCAGTGTTTTGTGGCTAACATTCGGTCGTTATATACCGTCATCTCCTGTGGAGGTGTTGTGTTCGCTGGAAAATAGTGGCGCCGGAGTACTAGTCATCCATGACTTCGGACTACTATTAGTTTTCCATTCAGATTGACTAACATTTGTGGCAGCGATAGCCGATCTGAATAAGCCTAACGGATAATATATTTCATTAAAAACATTAAATTTAAACACAAATCTAATCGAGTGCTTACTATTGGAGTTCGAGTCGTCAGGGTTTGAATGATCCTTAACTTGTGGTTTAGAGTCGGTCTTAAAGTAGTAGTCATCGTCTCGACAGCCCCGACACCCCTTACACGGCTCCATAGTCTCGTAGTCGTAGAAATTGAGCGGAAGTTGTAATTCTTTAACTTTCCTAAGGATTTCTTCAGACTCCGGGGCTTTCATGTAAACAATTTCGATGTCGTCGTCACTTGATTTTGAGTGACACTTTGGGACACTATTTGTGGACTCTTTAGTTTGAGTATCTTTAAGATTTTGATTGCAATTCAAAGTGTTTTGTTTCTCAACAGAAGTGCAA